GAAGACTCTGTTTCGATCTTTAGCCCATCTTTTAATTGGATCATTTGTTTTCTTGCTTCTTTTTTTTTGAGTACTTTATATATTCTAGATGTTAAACCTCTGTCAGATGTGTCACTGGTGAAGACTTTTTCCCACTCTGTGGGTTTTCTCTTCACTTTTTTGATTTTTTCTTTTGCTGTACAGAAGATTTTTAGTTTAATGAGGTCCCACTTGTTGATTGTAGACCTTAATTCCTGATCAACTGGTGTTTGATTTAGAAAGTCCTTTCCTACACCTGTATCTTGTAGTGCCAATGTTTTCTTATAATAGTTTCAGAGTTTCAAGTTTCATATTGAGGTCTTTGATCCATTTGGAGTTGAGTTTTGTGCAAAGCGAAAGATAAGGATCTAGTTTCATTCTTACACAGGTACAGATCCAGTTTTGCGAGCACCATTTGTTGAAGATGCTATCTTTCCTCCATTGTGTGTTCTTGGTACCTTTGTCAAATATCAGGTGGTAAAAATTGCAAGTACTCAGGTCTGAGTCTTCAGTAATGTTCCATTGATCTATTTGTCTATTTTTGTACCAGTACAATGCTGTTTTTATGACTATAGCTCTGTAGTATAGTTTGAGATCTGGTATAGTAATCCCTCAGCATTGCTCTTTGTGCTCAGGGTTGCTTTGGCTATCTGCTGTCTTTTGTGCTTCAATATGAATTTAAGGATTTTTTTCTTTAATTCTGCGAAGTATGTCATGGGGATTTTGATTGGGATTTCATTGAAACTATTTATTGCTTTTGGTAGGATGGTCATTTTCACATTGTTATTTCTTCCAATCCATGAGCATGGGAGGTCCTTCCATCTCCTCAATCTCTTTCTTTAAAGATTTAATTTTTTTTTTATTGTAGAGCTCTTTGGTGTCTTTGGTCAGGTTTATTCCAGATATATTTTTTGAGGGTTATGGTTAAGTTTAGGGTTAAGGTTAGAGTTAGAGGTAAGGGTCAGGTTTAGGGTAAGGTTCATGGGTTAGATGTTAGGGTTAGGGTTAGGTTTATGGTTAAGTTTAGGATTGTGAGCATGGGAGGTCCTTCCATCTCCTCAATCTCTTTCTTTAAAGATTTAAATTTTTTTATTGTAGAGCTCTTTGGTGTCTTTGGTCAGGTTTATTCCAGATATATTTTTTGAGGGTCTTGTGAAGGGGAGGGTTTCCCTGTACTCTTTCTCTGATTGCTTGTTATTGGTGTATAGAAAGGCTACTGACGTCTGTCAATTAATTTTGTAACCTGCTACTTTACTGAAAGTGATAATCAGTTCTAGGTATAGTTTTATGTCATCTACAAAAAGGGATAATTTGACCTCTTCTTTTCTAATTAGTACTCTTTTAATTTCTTTCTCTTGACTTATTGCTATAGCAAGAGTTTAAAGTACTCTACTGAAAAGGAGTGAAGATAGTGGACATCCTTGTTTGGTTCCTGTTTTAATGGGAATGCTTCTAGTTTTTTTCTCCATTTAGAATGTTGCCTGTGGGTTTGGTGTATATAGCTTTAATTATGTTGAGGTATTTTCCCTCCAGTCCAATTCCCTTTAGAACTTTTATCATGAATGCACGTTGAATTTTGTCAGAAGCCTTTTCTGCATATATTGAGATGACAATGTGGTTTTGTCTTCGAATCCATTTATTGGACTTGGGCATATTGAACCGTCCCTGCATCTCTGGAATAAAGTCTACTTGATCATGATGAATGATGTTTTTGATGTACATCTGTATGTGGTTTGCAAGTATTTTGTAGAGAATTTTTGCATCTGTGTTCATTAAGGATATGATATGGGTCTATAGTTTTCTTTTTGGTTGTGTCTTTACCTGGTTTGGGTATTAGAGTGATGCTGGGTTTGAGGTCTTCTTTAAGTATCTGATAGAATTCTCCTATAAATCCATCTGGGCCTGGGCTTATTTTAGTCTCAAGGTTTTGTATTACTGTTTCAATTTCCTTGTATGTTATGGTCTGTTTAAACTGTTGCTCTCTTCTTGGTTTACCTTTGGTGGATCCTATGATTTTAGATACCCATCCATTTCTTTTAGGTTTTCAAATTTAATGGAGGATAGGTTTTTAGAGTATTCCCTTATAATGTTCTGGATCTTTTAGTTGTCTGTTGTGATGTTTCCCCTTTCATCTCTGATTTTGTTGATTTGGATTTTCTTTCTTTTGGTCCACTGGGCTAAGAGTCTGTCTATCTTGTTTACCTTGTCAAAGAACCACCTGTTAGATTCATTGATTCTTTGTTTTATTTTCTTTGTTTCTGTTTCATTAATTTCTGCTTTGATTTTTGTTATTTCTTCTGATCTTCTGGGTTTGGGTTTCATTTGTTCTTGCCTTTCCAGGGTCTTGAGTTGGAATGTTAAGTCATTTATTTGTGTTCTTTCTGATTTTTTTTAATGTGGGCACTTAGAGCTATAATTTATAATTTTAGGACTGCTTTTAATGTGTCCCAGAGGTTGTGTTGTGTTGTATTGTCCTTTTCGTTGAATTCTAGGAATTCTTTTATTTCTTTCTTAATTTCTCCCTTGACCCACTCATTATTCAGGAGTGTGTTGTTTAATTTCCACAAGTTCCTGTAGTTACTAGGGCTTTTTCTGGTGTTGATTTTAAGCTTTATTGCATTGTGGTCTAATAAAATGTATGAAAGTATTTCAATTTTTTTGTATTTGTTGAGGTTGGTTTTGTGCCCCTGTATGTGGTCAGTTTTTGAGAAAGTTCCATGGGGTGCTGAAGAGAAAGTGTGTTCTCTGGTGCTCAGGTGGAATATTCAGATGATGTCTGTTAGGTCCATTTGATGTACGGTATCATTTAATTCATATGTCTCTCTGTTAATTCTCTGTCCTGTTGACCTGTCTAATGGAGATAATGGGGTATTGAAGTCCCCTACTGTTACTGAGTTGGGGTTAGTCTGTGTTTTAAAGTCCCGTAGTGTTGTTTTTATGAATTTGGGTGAACGAGAGTTTGGTGCATATATGTTCATGATTGTAGCATCTTCTTGGTCAATTGTTCCTTTGATCAGAATGAAGTGACCCTCTTTATCTCTTCTGATTATAGTTTGAAGTTCATTTTGTCAGATATTAGAATTGCAACCCCTGCTGGCTTCTTAGTGTCATTTGCATGAAATATTCTTTTCCATCCTTTCACCTTAAGGTAGTGCCTGCCCTTGAAGGTGAGATGGGTTTCTTGCAGACAACAAAAAGATGGCTCTTGCTTCTTAATCCATTCACCTTGTCTGAGTCTTTTGATTTGGGGAGTTCAGTCTGTTGGTATTTAAAGTTATCATTGAAATATGTGTATTGATTGCCATTGTTTTGATTACTGTTTGCATTCTTTGTCTAACTTTGTGTTTCCACGATTATACCTTCATTTAGTTTCTTTCTGTTGCTCCTGGGGTATAGTTGCTCCTTTCTCAATTCTTTGTATTGCTTCAAATATTCTTTGAAGGGCTCATTTTGTGGACATGTATTCTTTCAGCCTATTCGTGTTGTGAACAATTTTTCTTTCCCCTTCAACTATAGTAGACATTTTTGCTGGGTATAGTATTCTGTGTTGGCATCTATGATCATTTAGAACTGGAAATGTCTTGGTCCAGGCTCTTCTGGCTTCCATAGTTTGCATTTATAAGTCAGCTGTAATTCTGATGGGCTTTCCTTTATATGTGAATTGTTTTTCTCTTGCAGCCTTTCAGTATTCTCTCTTTGTTCTGTACTATGGGGAGTTTTCTGGTCCTGTCTATTTAGTGTTCTATGTGCTTCTTGTATTTGGTATGGGGATGTCTTTCCTTAATTTTGGGAAATTCTTTTCTACAATCCTGTTTAAGATCTGGTCAACACCATTAACCTGAGATTCTTCTCCTTCCTCTATGGTGCATAGATTTGTTTTTTTCATGGTCTCCCACATTGCCTGCATATTCCATTCTTGTGTTTTTAATTTTTTTTTTCATAATCTTTGCTTAAGCAGTCCAGTTCTTCAACTGAATCCTCCAGTGTTGGTACTCTCTTTTCCTTTTCATTCATTCTTGTAGTAAGGCTTTCTCCTGTTGTTTCAAATTGGCTTGTTGAGTTTTTCATTTCCTTCTTCATTTCAGCCTGAGTTTTCTTCAATGTTTCTATCTCTCTTATGAATTCAGTAGAAGTTTATCCATATCTTCTTTTAGTTCTTTGATTTGTTTGTTCTTTAAATTCATTGATCCCTTGATCATGTTTATGATTTTTCTTTTAAATTCCTTGTTGTCCTGGGTTATCTCTAGTGGGTTCTCCTTGTAGAACTCTTCTACAGAATTGGTGGAGTTTGGTGGAAACATGCTGTTTTGGTTTTCCATATTATTATTTCGCTGTTGTGATTTTGAGATGTGGATTTCTTTTGTTGTTTGCAATTCTGGTATGAAACTCAAGCCTTCTTTTGTTGAGTTCAAGTTTGCTCTGTTTGCATTATTCTGTGCCTTGGTTGCTTTCTTATTGGGCATGTAAAGCTGGTTGGTCTATGTTTCAGGTTCTCTCAGATTTTATTTTGGAGGGAACTTCTGGCTTTAGGTCAGCTGATCAAGAGTTCCCACAGAGGTCCAAGTCAGGCTCCAGTCAGGTCCACTCAGGCTTCCATCTAACATTTGGACCCCTACTAGTGGGTACTCACAGCACAATTTGGGAAGTTCACTAAGGGAAGGCCCAATTTTGGTGCTGTCAGGCAGTCTGCCAAGGTCTCAGCCCCTACTGTAGGACAGAGAGGCTTAGACCTGGCAAAGTGGGAGGGGCCTCACATTGTCACTATTAGGGGGTTGGGCATGGTGTGAGTCTTGGGTGACCTGCTGAGGCCTCAGCCCCTACCCTGCTGTAGTGTAGAGAGGTCTGCCCCTGGGGACATGGGAGGGGCCTCATGTAACCCCAGTTAGGGGGTTGGGTAAAGTAGGGTTTGGGGAAGCTCACCTCCGTGTAGAGGCCAGATCCAGGCACTCTCAGACAGTCTGCTGAGGCCTCAGTCCCTACACCAGCCAGAGGCCCCTATTCCATTTTTTTAAGGTAGAGATTTAACCCAAGACTTTGTATTCTACCACTGAGCTACATCCCCAACTCCCTTCACCTCGTCCTTTAAAATCAGCTTTGTGAGTGAGACTTTGGAAACTTACTATCTTCCTTAGATAAATTATTTACCTCTTCTATTTTCTTCAAATCCATTGTACACTACTCTATTTGCACATAACTACTTATTTTCTATGTAATACCGTCCATCCTACATCTTATTCAGCTGTCTTTCTTTTTTTGAGATGGGGGTCTCATCTATTCAAGGCTGGCTTTGAACTTGCTATGTAACCAAGAAGAATAGCCTTGAACTCTTAATCTTACTGCCTCCACCTTCCACATACTGGAATTAAAGTTTTAATACCCAGCCAAATTATCAGTTCCTTAGGCTGATAGTACTGTCTAACTCATCTTTATTTTAGTAACTCATGGCATAGTTCTTGAAACATAGCAGATACACAAAAAAACATAGGTTTTGTGGTGAACACTTGATGGTGGGTAGAGTGACTTCCCTGTTGATATAAACAAATGTCACTAGCCAGTTTCCATGATTCTCCTTTCCTTGTTTTTTTCCACTCTTCCCTGAACATGTGTGCAGTACGACAGACTCTTCACTTCACCCCAACCCACACTGAGCCTGTGTCTACCTGCCCCACAGTAGCACTAGAGTGCCAGTGCCTCCCTTAGTTCCAACCCTCCTTCTGCTATCCATGCCATGAATATCACTGTAAGTGTTCCTTTGATTGTGCTGCAGAATAACCTTTCAGCCATATTGAAATGTTAAGCATTAACATATTTGCAATTTCAAGAATGAAAGGGTTTTGAAGTTAAAAACAGGCACAAGACCTTAACAAAAGAAGGGACTTCAGTATCACACTATTATCTATCCAGTGACCATTATTATGAAGTTTTAACGCTCCATAAAGATGCCAGACTCTGCCTGATGCTGTCATTGTCAGCTCAGGGATGTCAGTGGCCAATAGAAGACTCAGGCAGGTTCTCAGTCTTAATGAAGTCTCTTTGAGAAAATTGTGCCAGGAGAGACCATTCTGACCTTAACCTGGTTGTTAGAGGAGAGGACCCATCTGGTAGCTCAGTCAAACTCCTAGAAGAAATTAAAAGACAGAAAATGGTCACACAGTTTCTACTTGATAAAGCCACATGGCCATGAGGCAGAATCTTGTCATCGCCCCCAGGTCATGCCACACAGATCTGAAGTAGATATCAGTTAGTGTCAGGCATCATGTGCTGTGCGGCAGTCACTACAGTGTCTGAGTCAGTAGCTGTGGGGCCAATTGTGTTTCCACCTGAGTCTGTGCTGTTACTTCCCGAAAGCCAAGCTCATGATGGGCGTAGTCTATCATTTATCACCAAGGAGGAAGATGTGAAGAAAAAGTACAATTTACAAACTATTGCAGATGGGTCAAAGCTATGAGGTGGAGGAAATCATATAGTTCCTTGAATAAATACTGATTTTCAGTTTCTGGAGACATAAAGATGTCTCGGGTGTAAAGTCCCCCCTGGTCTCCTATCCTCTTTCATGTGAAAGTCTTAATGAAAACCATTGTTTACAGTTCTTAACATTGTGTATGCTTCTTCAAACAGGTAAAATAAAATAATCTAATGGTTTTGAGTAGGGAAAGATCTTGTTTGGATGCTTTGATTATGTTGCACTTAGTACATCTGACTTCTCTCTTTGTGGGTTTTACCTTCTAGTTGCCTGACTATTGCCATGGTGTTGAGCTGGATTTTTTTGATACTCCTGAGGTACATAGCTGGACTCCTCTTCTGGGTCTTCATGTTTGGTGTGCTTGGAATTATAGGATATGGTAGGTAACATGCCTCTTAAAATTGTCAAAGATCAGAAAAAATTTTCCTTGCCATTAGTGTTTGCTTGTCCTAGGCTTAATTAGCCCCCCCATATATTAAGTTTACCAAAATTATTTAATTTCACATATATTTTCTCTGTTACTACTGGTTGTCTTGAAAGAAATTCCACAAGAACGTTCCACTGTTCCCCCACCAGCCTTTGGTCTCATGTCTCGGTATTAGGAAGGAGGCAAAGAGTCTCTTTTAGACTAATAAAAACATTGCAAACATTTTATTTTTCCCACTGACTTTTCTCTCTGATCAGAGACCAGGTCTGCACACCTGCATAGCATGATCTATTTTTCTCTTTCCATTTCAACAGTACTTTTAATCAGGTATTGTCACACCTTTTAGTAGTTGGTGCCTTTGGGGAGGACGGCCCTCTGGAGGAAAACATTCTGAATCATGCTCATTGGCTGGAGAGTTCAACTCAGCCCTCCCAAGCTGTGCAGGTCGGGCCCAGTGTGAACACTAAATGAAAGAATTAAAGTGTATCCCATTGGATGATATAACATTTATGGAAACATCTTTTCAGTCTTCAAAACAGTATATGGGCCAGTATAGGAATGTTTGAGAGATTTCTAGCCAAAAGAATGATTTCCCTCACAATACAATTTGGATTGACAGGATAGTTTTGCAGTATTAGGTGCCCCAAATCACAAGCTCCTGTTTATGTTCCCTAATGAGTTTTACAAAGTATTAGAGTAAGTGTGGTAAATTCACATTCTGTAAGTGGCCTTAGGCTATGGTACAGCTCTATAACGTATAACTGCGTAACTACAAAAAGCATGCGTAATGATTATAAGATCCAGCTCCCGTGTCTGTGATATCAGCCCCATGATGGAATCTCCATCTCGGAAGACAAAAAATCTAATGATCTAGAACTGTCAGAAACTGCCTGCAGTACGGTAACTGATCAGTACCGGCTGGGTAATTGTTCTTTTCCTCCAGAAGTGTTTAGTAAACATTCAGCCCTCCCTGGGAGTTCCCCACCCGTTCTGCTGTGCACCTGCTTGATCCTCACCTGTGCATCCCCCTGAGCGCCCGCGTCTGGGTAGCGGAGCACGGCATGGTCTGGTGGGGCACCGTGAGAACCACACGCCCTGATCAGAAATTCCACAGAAGGCTTTTTGCTTGAACGATTTTGTGTGTGCATTCCTCCCTAGATGAGTTACTGCAGAGTCTGGGCATGTGATTCAGTCATTCTTTGGTTGTCGCCGAGGTGAGAAGGGCAAGACAGTCTGTATAATTCACTGACTTACGATTCACTGCCTTGTCTTAAGCAGCAAGATCTGACACTGGCTATGCAGGCGGTTTGACAGTGCAAAAGGGAGAGAGATGGTCAATGTGTAAAATGTGCAGATAAAACAGTCAGTCACCGCTGCCTATTGACTCCTGAGGTAGTGCTAACCCAGCAATTAGCTGCATGGCAATTAAGCCTGAAGCTTTTCACAGAGAAATGTTCAATTAGGTTGGGAAATGTGAGTAAAAGAGACTGAATGTGACTGACATCTGCTATTATCTTGGATAACTGATTCTAAACCTATCATGGAAAACCAGTCATTTCCTGTTGACAGTAGCAAATTTACTAGAGCATAAACAATGTGGATTTCCTAATGAGTAGGTTAAAAAGCTAAACCTCTGTGTGTGAGAGTGTGTGTGTAATAACGGAACAGTTCTCATCAAGGTGAGCAAGTTATGAGGTACAGGAGTCTCATAACTCTGCGATCATGACCATGGATTTGGACTTTGAGCAAAGAATGGTCCCAAGTGCACAGCATGTTAACCCTGTGATCTTTGGCAGGTACACAGTTTCTTGACTCTGTGGTTTCTTCAGTTACATGATAGGAACTGTGGGCATTAAACATAATGCTGAGTGTGAAGTACTCAGAAATCTGCTAGTGTAAGCAGCAAGAGTTTGATGAAAGAGTATGTGTCATTATGTTTGAGAGACCTAGAGCCATGGGTGCAGAAAGGCAGGACTACGCCAGGAAAATAAAGAGAAAATTGTTGGTTCACACATTCTTTTATGCAGAGCCAGCAAACATCAGTTGAGCCATTATAACACACATGCCTTGTACCTGTCTCTTAACATGTAACAGCGGACTAACAGGTGAGGGTTCCCCTCGCCTCATGCTTACAAGTAAAGCGTATTGTGCATTGAAGATGATGGTTGTTGTAGGAAATAAGAAAGTCTAGCTGACAGGGAGATGGAGAGCACTGTGTAGGTTGGGGAGTGAGAAATACCATTATCAGTAGGAGATGGCTGATGTTGTCGGAGTGGTTGGAACTGAACCCAGTGTCTGGCAAGGACTCTACCATCCAACTACGCTCCCAGCACCACAGTAGGTTGTTTTGAGAAGATTTATGAGAATCAGTTGGAGGAAACAATGGAGTTATCAAGAGTGACTGGGAAAACTCCAGCCAAGGTCGCAGCTAGACCAGAGGCCCTGAGGTAGCAGTTTGCTCAAAGACTGGCTAGGAGACTGAGAAGGTGGGTGTGCTGAGCGAATGGGACAGTAGGTGCACTGAGACCACGGAACTTACGTAGGACCAGAGTGGTGCAGGGTATTGCGAGGCCTTGGCTTTTCTCTGAGCAAAGTCAGGGAGGCATTTCAGGGTTCTGAGTGGAAGGTGTGACATGACGATTTCTGTGGTCCCGTGTGGAGGCAAGGACAGGAGAAACGAGACACCAAGAAGGGCAGTGTGGCAGTCCACGTACCACATGTGGTGAGCTGTGGCCACGGAGGGGGTGGTGCAGAAGTTCGTGTGTTCTTGGTGTGTAATCAGCTGTGTTTCCTGGTGGCTTGAATGTGACTATGGGAGACGGAATGGGGGAAGGGAAACAATTCCTCGTGAAGCTGTGCGATGTACAGAGAATAGCAACCTGAGAAAACTAATTGGTAACGATGCAGGCAAATAAAGCAAACACAGCCCATATAACATAACAATATTTTAACAATGGCCAACTTTTAGGTTAAAATGTACATAATTAAGATATGGAAAAAATAACCAGAATGGGGTGACTACTGAGTGACCTAAGTTCTTTCTCTTTCTTTGTTAAATATTTGCTTTAAACTTGATTAATGAGTATGAAGCAAATTTTCAAGGGTAATTATAAACAGAATAGATAGTACTGAACTAGAAGAAAAAAACCTGAATATAATGTTTTGGAGAGAGGTGACCCCTTGTAGTAAACATTTGAGCTTAGTTGAAGTCATGTTGAGATAGAGAGAGAGAGAGAGAGAGAGAGAGAGAGAGAGCAGATATTGTCACATCAGACCAACATGCAAGTTGGAGGCATGTGTTGTTGCAAAAGTTATTGAACATGTAAGGAAGTACAACAGTTCAAAATGAAAGAAGTGGTTAAGAAAGTAGCAGTTATTAAACCTATTAATAGTCTCAAAATGTATAGAGAAACGAACGATAGATAGGTCAATAAATAATAAGTTGCGGATACATAAGGGAGGGTTCAACACCTTTTTCTGATGAACACACCCACTGTAGCATAGTTATCACTCATCAGAGTACATTAAAATCAAGCCAGATCAATACAGATGACATCTATTCAAATACCATCAAAAAATATTTGAGGTACAAATATTATTCTTAACTTTGTAAAAATGAGAATATTGATCAGTGTTGTGTGGGTGTATGGGATAAGTACATAATTTTTACTTCAGAAAATTGCATTTTTATTTTGGTCTTTTTTCTTCTTTTCAAGGAATATGGTTCTGTTTTATGGAATACAACCGTCTCCAGCAAAAGCCAGAATCTACAATAACGATATACGACATTGGGATTCAGGCCGACATAAGCATGTTCTTTTACTTGAAGCAAACATGGTTCATATTGAGTAAGTGGGTCTTAAAAACCAATTTTGTCAAAATTATAGTCATGAAGAAGCCTGGCTTGTCTAAGGGGAAGCTTGAGTTGGTGCAGCCTATAAAATGTGTTGCTCATTTCATAATTACTGTATATGTCTATAAGCTATAGTGAATGGGAATGTCATTGAAAATGTATTGTATAGCCTTAGCTAACACTGCTTTACAAGAATCCAAAGCCATTTGACTTCAGCTTAAAATGGTTGGTTATATAGAATTTGATTGATTGGAGAAAGATAGTTAAAAAGAAATAAATGATCACATGGGCTTGGGAGGCGCCCCTGGCTCCTTTCTTTTACCAGTTCCGCCTATGCGAAGATAAGTCAAAGGTCCTGCTCGACCATGGCTGGCTTCACTTGGAAGCATGGAGGAAATGATTCCTCTGTGTTGACCCTCCTCTTTGTAGACTGGACACTGGTTCAAGTCCATCTGGTGGGGTCTCCATGGTCTCCTTGATCAAGCGGACAGGTGACTCACTGCAGTTACAGGACATTTTGAGAAATGTTCATAGTCCCCTGGAACTTAGTCAACCTTGGAGGGCAAGGAGCAAAAACTGTCCTTTAAGTCCTTCTGACCAGACTAGTACAGGCCTCAAAGTATGGCTGGTAATCTCACAAAAAGGTTAGTTTCACCAGTCTGGTACTTTTAATTACCAAGTACTATATA